AGAAGAGTTTATATAACATCAATTTTTTTAACCCGATAATTATTCATTTCTCTTTTCCTTTGCTCTTCCCTTAGCAGGACTCAAGAGTTGTGACTTGTGAACTACTTTTTTTTTGTCTAGTTGAGTACTATTCATCATGACCTGCTTGTCTCAGATACTTTGTAGAAAGACAAAATTTATTATTCTGCTCTGCAGAGAAAAAGGAAGAATATAAGTGGATTTCCCTAGGTTTATAAACATGTACATTCATACATGTATACACACACATATGCACACATACAAATATATCCATTATACCCACCTTCAGTCTTTATAATGTGTGTCTAGCAGGTTAATGGGTGCTGAAAACCAATCCTGTAATGTATGAAGAGACATAAATTGGTTTGGCCAGATGTTTTTTAAAGTATTATTTTTCATAAATTAGAAAACACATAACAGGAAATTTAAAGCTTAGAAGAAAAATGTGACTCGGTCCATAGTACTAAGTTTTAATAATATGGCATATTAATTTTTCTAACATAACGTACTTTAAAATTATTTCTAAAAACCTACTAAATAGGTGTTTTGTGCAACATTTTATAAATATTTTACTGCTCATAAGATACTATTAAAATATCATCTTAAGCATTTTCTAGGTACAGCTAATTTCTCATATTGTCACCTCTTTATTTCCCAAAATAAGAGAGCACAGTCCTAAAAGTATATAAAGTACCCGCCTAAGATCCCGATATTAACTTATGTGTCTTTAAGTCAGCATTCTCTGGAATCTAATTTAATTGAAATAGCTTTGCCTGTGTAAACTTTGCCTTTGTTTAAATAAGATTTCACTGTTTAGTTTTGCCTTAAGCAAATGCAGCCTTTTGTTTGTCCATAAAGCATTAGATTAAACGTATAGACTAATATGAATAGCTTCTGGGCCTTTCACAGGTATCTCTGGCTGCCCGCCCTTTGCTAGTGAGTGGGGTACTATTGTCATTGAAAACCTGGTCTCTCTCTTGAGCCTACTCTTTGGGGAAAATAAATTTTTGGCAAGAAAACCTTCTATCTCTTCACCATTATTGATTTTTGATTTGAAAGACTTCTTGAGATTTACTCTTTAAATGCAGCTACTAATGTTCTTAATATGCTGAATTATGCAAGTCCTTGCTCTCATAGTACATTGACTTACCCCTGTTTTATCACTGGGTTCCAGGATTCTCCAGCTATCTTTGCTGCCCTGTGCAAGCTTAGGATTTGGCCCTTTGTTACAAAGCATCATCCAATAAATGCTATGAGAGATTGAATTTTTTCCCTCTAACCCAACTGTAGTTTATTTTCTGGTTTCTATTCAGATGAATAGTAACTTAGAGAACGGTTTCTGTGGTTTTTCTTAAGGCTAACCAGATTCCCAGTAGAGATGGTGAGTGCCATATATTCTTATAATATGTGCGTTTTTCCTCTTCAGGCAATGCTGGATGTGGCTGCAAACCAGGGCTGGCTGGTGACTGCCCTGAATATCACCAACCTGGTTCAGATGGTGATCCAGGGGAGGTGGTTAAAAGACTCTTCCCTTCTTACAATACCAAACATAGAACACCACCATCTTCACCTTTTCAGGTAATTATTTTAATTTTTGATGAATTTGGGTTTTTTTATTTCTTTTTTTTTTTTTAATTGAATGGTAACTATGTACATTAATGCA